TTTTTTTTTGCAATGAAACATTTGTTTTTATACTAAAATATCTGAATTACTTTGAATAAAGCTGGAAATTATGTCCCTTAAAATAATTAAACAAATAAGGCACCAATGTTTTTGTAAGATATTTACATCTTTTAAGGACATTCGGTAGACTGATTCCCCACTGTTGGTTCAACCCCAAAACTTGTTTGTATTCAAAATTAATTATGACAATGCATATTTATATTGAATCAAACTATGATACAGGGAATTATATTATATAACAAAGGGCAAAGTCACCAGAGTTCAACTATGTTTAATTTAGGCCGTGGCTACAAATATGAATTTTACGGTAATTATTATTCTAAATGTATTGCTGAAATCTGTTTAATTTTCACAACTCAAATTTTTCAGAATTTGCTGGTTTACTGGCATTTGTGAGGAAAAAATGTTACCATAGTTTTTACTTTACTTAGTAAAAAATTATCTCATAATTATGCAAATATCTTACCTTGTGTTGTGCAGAAACCAGTCTTAATGTCCATTTGTTCTCTATAACAGGGTGGTCTGATTCTAATTTTCTGTTCACTGTGAGATCTCACATAATGCCTGAAAGACGCGGTTTGAGCTTCTGCCGCAATAACCGGTTTGACTTTGAAATTGAATTTCTCTTTTTTTATAGTTTAATATTGAAATTCCTATCTTTCAGAGAGGAATAAGGTATCCAAGATATTTATACTTCATCTAAATTGTCATTATCGATTGTGTATAGCACATTACTGAGTTTGGAAATAGCCAAAACAATATTTTCATATTTGTTGAATCCATGCAATGTTTTGACTCCACTACAACCTCTGTTTGTCCTGTTTCTATGGTGATTTCATGGATAACACAAGATCTCGCATGTGAACAGAAAATGGTCAATTTTTTTAAGTATTCTTTGATACTGAACATATAGGATCGATAGGGAAAATTGTTACCGGTAATTGAAATAATTAACATATTCTATCATATAGTTTATAATTCAGCCCGATTATTTTCTCTTCCAATTTCATGTTGTACATTGCGATACCACGCGTTATACTGTGGTTGACTTTTGGCTGGTCCCCACATTAAAGATATTTGTGTTAAATTTAAATTTAGAATAACAATTTTATAAACTATTTTAGTTAAGATTAGGTGTGGTTGAGATGTAATCTGAATTTTTCACATTATAAATGTTGGTCTTTATGCCCTATGCTGGTAGAGATTTTGAATTTAAAAATAGCCAAAATACATACAACTTTTTTTCACTTCCCATTATTAAGTTTTTTTTATATCACATCTCTTAGTGAAGGTGACAAGATATGATATAAAAATACTTAATGACTAAGAAGAAGAAACAAGAAAATAAAAACAACAATAAAAGAAATATAGAATTTAAAAAAAAAATGGAGCCTATATCTACATTAGATTGATGTTTATTATGGTATAAATGGGGTCAATGACCTTTTGGTGTCGCTTATGGTGAGTTGTTAATGACCTTCAAATAAAAAATAAAAATCTGTTTTCAGATGACACAGCATAATGACCCCTACATGGTGAAGGATGTTTTTGACTTCCGTGTGCGAAGCACAAAAGGGAGTCTTTGCAGTTACCCTGTCTGTATGTCTGTATGTATGTATGTCTGTATGTATGTATGTATGTCACTTTTTTTGTTCCACCGTTATCTCAAAAACCACTAATCAAATTTTGGTGAAACTTGGTACATAGATGCTCTGAGATAATGCGAAGAGTTGATTTGGTTTTGGTAAAAATTCATGAATATTAATTACCTAATTTGCATGATAATTAGCTGATTTTTAGCTGTTCCATGACTGTTCTACTGATATCTGAAGAACCATTCATT